CCGCGCGGTGGCCTTGGCAGCGTCTGCGGCGGCCAGCGAAGGCGGGGCTGGGGGACCCGGCGGGACTCGCGGAAGGAGGGAGGGGGCCACGCTCGGCGCCCCGGCGCGACCACAAGGCCACAGGGCCACAGGCCCACACGGCCACGCCATCGCCGCCTGCGCGAGCCCTGAGCTGAAGCCGGGCGGGGTTGGCAGGGCAGCTCCGGTGAGTGCTCGGCGGCGGACCTGCGCCCACTCCTTCGGCCGCAGGGTCTCATGGGGAGAGCGTGGGCCCCCGCCCAGATTGGACTGGGACATCGGACAGAGGAGGGGACGGGGCTTCTCCTGGACACGCTCGGGTTGGGGCGGAAGGAGGCGAGGACGGCTGCTCGGTTCCCGGGGAATCCCGGGCGGGGTGCGGCGGCTGGTTGGTTGGAGGTCTGGGCGCTGGCTGGGTGCGGGTGCTGTGGCCGCTTGGGCTTCCCTTCCCCCAAAGATAAGGGTGGACACCTCTTAAGGCCCCTGTGGGGGGTTTCACAGTCCCCTCTCCGTGCGCCTGTGTGACAGACACCCATTGCCTGTGCCCTAGATATTAGAGGAAGTCGAGCTCGGCGACTGCACAACCCACCTGGTGAAATGGTTCAGACGGGCCTGCCCAGGAGACTCTCCAGTCTAGCAAGAGTCACCATTTTCCTACAAGTTCTCTTTTCTCTCTCTCTCTCTTTTTTATTTTATTTTTTGGGAGGTTTTTGCCATAGGGCGCATGTGCTCACCAGCCAGACAGAGAGAGACAGAGAAACAGAAAGCAAGAAATCACCCCCCAAGGGGGATGGCCATTCTACAATCCCTTCTCCTCCATTCTCCTCTTAGGACGACGCATGCACACGCACCCAGCGTGAGTTTTAAGCCACCCGGACGGGAACCGTGGTCGACTACATGGGAATCCAACTACATGGGAGTCCAGCGACATAGCCATTACGCTAACTGCTGATCCCCAAGTTCTCTTTTCTTTGCTTCTTACAAAACAAAATAAACCAAAAAGCCGGGTAAGGTTGAGCCAGGAAGCATCCTTTGATTCCTGTACCACCTGACAGACCTGTCATGCTCCATCTTGTACCCCAGTGTGGGGACCAGACTCTGTCTCTCCTCCCTGGGTAGAGGCCTGGCCTAAGGGAAGGGGATGGGAGCATAAAGGATGGGTTTTCATCCCACCCTGGGCCACTCCCTCTGAAAGAGGTGGCCAGAGGGCCTTTCCTTCCCACCCTGCCTACTCTGGGGACACCTACAGGACTAAGACTGCTTGACCACTCCCTAGAGGTCACCTGAGACGACCCTGCCCCTACTGCCCAGCTCCACCCTAGTGCTCCAGCCTGCCCACCTTACTGATGGCCCCTGCTCTTCCTCCTCTTCCTCCCTCCCTTTGAAGGCTGCCAGGCCATCCCCAGTCCTTCCGTCCCCCCAGTCTGAACTGTGGTCCCAAACCAGACTGACCCAGCTGTGCCCAGACGGTTCCACTCACCACTCCCTGTGTGCCTTTGTGGCCCGTGTCTATAGGAAGTCCAGCATAGTCACCCTGCCTGGCCTGAGGCTCCTAAGTTTCTTCTACCTACATCCCCCGACCCTGCCCTGCCCAAGCAGCCTGCCCTCCCACCATGTCTCCAGGAGCCATCCTAAACATGCAGGTGGAGCTGGTCTTCCTGCCTCTCAGAACCCTTCCAGGCTGGCAGCATCCTGTCTTTGAGGATGCACTCTCTGTGGCCAAGTCCTGTGTCCTTGATCCCTGATGGTGCCTGCAGGGACCCTTCCCCTCCTCGGTGTGAGACAGCCACCCCATCTCTGCTCCTTCCCCATCGACTGCAGCATGTAGCTGTTTGATGAGAGTCACCCCTTGCCTCGTCCCACACTGGGCAGTGATTCCATAGAGATGAAGACTCGCACCTTTGAGCCTGAGTACTGAATGCAGTCGAATGCCGTGTCTGTGGGATGCCCCTTCTGCATGCTGCCTTCATCAACCCTGCAAGTTCAACCCTGCAGGTTATATATGGGGGGAGCTGGGGACCAAAAGTACATTCCCCAATTCTGACAATTTCCGCAGATGGTTAGCAAGCATTGTTTCTATGAATTCTCCCCAATGGAAGGGATGTTCAGGGATGGAAGTACCTACATGCTAAGCTGCTGTGGATGTGGGCGAGGAAGAGTGACCATGTGCCCAAGTTGGCATTCCTGTAAATGACCCTCTACTTGACCCTGGCAGAGAGAGCGTGGAACTATCCTCCAGGGAGCCTGTGGGCCAGTCGAAGCTGTGGCTCTGCGGCCTGGCAGAGAACAGAAAGGAAAGCATGCCACACGAGACCTTTCCCAGCTCCGGCACCTTCCTACTGAGCCCTTCTGGAGAGTGGCATGACTCGGGCCAGCCAGGTGGCATGGTGGTTAAGGCGGCTGGATCCCACATGGCCCACAGCACAATTCAAGTCCTGTCCCAGTGGCTTGAAAAGTATGCTGTGCGTGTGTGTGTGCACATGTGCCCAAAATTCCAAGAGAGTGGAGCAAAAGGAATGATCATCCCCCCTGGAGGTTGCTTTCTACCTCTCTCTCTCTCTCTCTCTCTCTCTCTGGAGTACATGTGCCCTATACCAAGTTTTTTTGTTTGTCTGTTTCTTTTTTTATTAAGAGATTTTTGCTGGGGTATTTCGTCAGCTGCCAACCCTGGTTACCACCACCCACCTGCCCTCAGCCATGCTCCCAGGCACCTAGAAACACTGCTCTGTTTGTAGGAGCCTTGAGCAGGCTTTCCATGGGGCCTCTGTGGGCCTGGATGGAGGAGTCACTGTCTGTGCCAAATCAGCTGCAAGGTGCCTGTGCCCTTGAAGCCTGCCCCGCAGATTAATCAGAGCTGAGGCCGGCGTGCTGCCGCGCGAGCCGGCCCCTTGGGCCACACGAGACCGCCAGTCCCCGCTTTGGATTAGTGGAGACCTGAACTTCACAAATCTCCACAGATCAGTCCTTCTGATGTTTAGTCCCTGTTCTTGTCAAACCAGACGTCTACCAGGGATGACTCTAGGAATCTCCAGTCTCCATTTCTCCTTAAAATGTGCCCACGTCAGTTGGAAGATTCAGTTTTCATTTTGATAAAGGTCTCTGTTGCAGTGTGTATGTGGCTTTACTTTAGTTACGTAAACCACATCTTTTTTAATGCTGTACTGTATTGATGGAAATTTAAGTTGGATCTGAGAAACCAGTGGCTACTTGGAAATGTCTAGTCCCTGTTTGGCACCTGGACATTGAAAGCAGTTTTTTTTTAATTAATTTTTGTTCATTTATTCATTTTTAGTTTTGACTAGAGAGACAGAGAGAGAAAGAGGCAAAGTGAGAAAGCAAGCCACCAGTTCTGAGACTTGAACCATGGTCGGCCATGTGGGAGTGTCCAGCGCCTTAACCACCACACCACTTGCTGGTCCCTTGAAAGCAGTTTTGAATCTTCAGTGCATTATCTTGTAGGGGCCCAGCCAAGGTGGTGCAGGTAGTAGGGTGCTGCTGCATGATACTGGGGCCATGTGGCAGGTCTGGGGTTCAGATCCAGGTTGACCTGATTGCACCTGAGATTCCTAGCTGGCTGAAAGGCTGGGTGAAGGATCCTGGCATGGCGAGATCCTGTCAAGGGTCCTTGTCTTTCCCTCTCTCTCCAACAAAGTTCTATAGGTGAGAATACCCCCTTTTTGAAGATGAGGGGGCCAGGTCAGTGTAGTACAGTCAGATAGTGTAGTACAGTCAGATTCAGGTTTTGTAACTTTAGGCTCTAGGCTCTTTCTAAAAGCTTCAGCTGCCCGTTCCTTGAAGGCAGGTGCAAGTCAGAGGGTTGAGTAGGTACTGTGGGACAACCTTTGCACTCCATCCACCCACAAGCCACACCTGGTCGGAGCCCTTCTGAGCGTCAGGAGGCCAGATTCCAGCCACTCCAGGTCAGTGCTGCGGTGGCGGTGCTGGTAACACATTCCGCCTTCCTCTCCTGCAGGTGAGCTGCACGTTCCTGTTTGGGCTCTGCCTCCAAGATCAGGACCCCACACCCACGCTCTCTTCAGACCCCTGGCTCCGGCATGGATGTATACAGCAGGCTCAGGGAGGATTAAATGGGCTTGATTGTACCTGGCTTCTCACGGTCGGGAAGCCTGAGCGTCTCTCTCCCACCCCCAGCCTGGCTCCCACCATGAGCGCTGAGCTCAGCGTGCCTGTGGACCCCTGCACTCCTGCCTGCCCTGAGCCCGGCCACAAGGGTATGGATTACCGGGACTGGGTCCGCCGCAGCTACCTGGAACTGGTCACCTCCAACCACCACTCGGTGCAGGCTCTGTCCTGGAGGAAGCTCTACCTGAGCAGGGCCAAGCTGAAGGCCTCCAGCAGGACCTCAGCCCTCCTCTCAGGCTTCGCCATGGTGAGTGCAAACACATGGGGGCGGCAGGTTGGGGGGCATGGTTGGGGAATAAACCACTTCCCCCACCTCATGGGCCCCTGGGAAGTGCCTGCCCATGTGCTAGTCCTCCAAGAGGACCATTTTGCTGGGCCCACTCACTTATGTTCACATAAAGGAGGTTTGCAGAGATAGTCAGAGTAGCTTCAGTGTAGGGGTTCCTGGGGAAAGGTCCCATGTGTGCCTCATCTTGGGCATCATGCAAAAGGTGGAAAGCTGACAGATGTCAATAGGGATTCATGGATTGACTGGAGTTTGCTCAGTTGAGCCCAGTGGGGACACACATGCTCCCCAAATATGGCCTCTGGGGTGACAAAGCAGTTTCTGGCCCAGCTCCCGGATGCTGCTTTCCCTCTGAGTCATCCCGAGGACAGGAGTCAGTCCTGGGCAAAGCTTCAAAGGGCCAGCTCCTGTTGACTCTAAAGCTCTCATCATCCCATATCCCTTTGGGAAATTATCCAGGAGCTGGAGTGAGATGGTGCAGGCAGCACCCCACCCCCAGGTTAGGAGCGGCATCAGATCACTGTTCAGACTGCAGAGCACCTTGGTAAAATTAGTGCTTTGTGTGCACTTAGAATGCGCCTTATTCCTTTACATAAAAACAAGTGTTGCCTTTCTGTAGCCCCAAGCCTCAGTTGCTAAATTGGTAATGCAACTTAAAATAAAAAACTGTCTGAGTAAGCTACCGACCACAAGGGCCCAGTCCGTCATCGCATGGGTCTTTCAGAAAAAATGACACTTTTCATTATCAGAAAGGAAGGCCTAGAGTTCGCACAGGGTGGACAGGTGGTCAGTTTGCATTCAGATCTGTAGTTCAAAGCGTTATTTGAGTCTTTTGGTTTATTTTTCTTAACTTATTTCAAAAGCGTATAATTGTATGTACAATTGATGTACAATTTTGGCTTGTAGTGAATTTATTCCAGTGGTTTTCATCACACTAAAAAGACAGGCCAGCAAATAGCATAGCAGCTATGTTGCTGGATTCCCACATGGCCAGCTGCGGTTCAAATATCGGGCCTGGTGGCATGAATACCACTTTGGGCATGTGTGCATACGCACCCAAGATCCTGGGAGAAGAATGGAGGAAAAGGGACTGAGCGTGACTATCCACCCTGTGGGGTGATTTCTCACTTTCCTCTCACCGTTTCTGTCTCTCTCTCTCCAGCGAGCACACGTCCCTAAGGCAAAAAATATCTTTATAAACAAGAAAAGACAGAGTAGGGAACCAGTAGGTGGTGTGGTGGTTAAAGCACTGGATCCCACATGGCTAACTGTACAGTTCAAGTCCCAGACCCAGCAGCTTGAAAATCATGCCAGGCATGTGTGCTTGCATGCCCAAAATTTCAAGAGGAGAGTGGAGGAGACATGATTGTTGGCATGGCCGTCTACCCTGGGGGGGTGTTTCCCACTTTGTCTCTCTCTGGTGAGTGCACACCCTATAGTAAAACCCTAAAATAAAAAAAATAAATAAATAATAAAAATAAATAAAAAATAGAGTAGGGAGGACGAGCAGTTAGTGTAATGACTATGTCACTGGACTTCCATGTAGTCGACCACGGTTCGTGTCCCGGACCCGATGGCTTGAAACTCACGCCAAGTGTATGTGCGTGTGTGCCCAAGATCCCAAGAGGGGAATGGAGGAGAAGGGATTGTGGCGTGGCCATCCCCCTTGGGTGGTGATTTCTCACTTTCTGTCTCTCTGTTTCTCTCTGTCTTTCTGGCAAGCGCACGCGCCCTATAGCAAAAACCTCTTCAAAAAATAAATAAATAAATAAACAGAGTAGGACCCAGCCGTGGTATAGCATGGTGCTAAGATGCTGCAGGCTGGCACATGGGAGGCCTGGGTTGGATTCTGGGTCTAACCTAAAAGCTGAGTATGGGGTACATGCCTGATATCCCAGCAACTCAGGAGGCTGAGGCACATCACAAGCTCAAGGAAGAGAGACCCTATCTAAAAGAGAGCCTGGCATGGTGGCAATCACCTATTGGTCTCAGGCTAAGACAGAAGGATTGTGACAGAGGCCATGTCTTGAAGAGAAAAAGAGTAGTTTTCAAGCTTAATTTTAAGGAATGTGTGTGGGAAATTTAGATGTCACTATGAAAACTGGAGCTCGGAGCTCGTTTTTCTGTACCACAGGAGAATTACAGTATTGCATTATGTTTTTCTGGTCTTTTTTTTAACTTGGGAAAACTAACTCTACTAAGCATTATAGAACTTAATACAGTAACATAGTTTTCTTTTTGTGAGGAAACCTGGGTCAGAAATCACTTCCTGCCTGCAGCTGTCTTTTTTTTTTTTTTTTTTTTTACCAAAGAGAGACAGAGGCAGAGAGAGACATGCACCTGCTGGTCCCGCAGCTGTCTTAGTCCCTGTCCGTACAAACATTTGGCTTTACAAATTTAGGGAAGCACCACAGTTTTTCAGCCAACAAAATGCTCACCCAAGTCAAAGCCTTCAAAATCACTGGGAACCAGCAGTTAGCGTAATGGCTATGTCACTGGACTCCCACGTAGTCAACCAAGGTTCACCTCCTGGACCTGGTCGCTTAAAACTCATGCCGGGCGCGTGTGCGTGCGTGCCCAAGATCCCGAGAGGAGAATGGAGGAGAAGGGA